CCGTTCCTGGAGAATGTGTTGACTGGGTCGCAGTCGGGCAGAGTCTCTGGTTGAATCTCTTGATTCCTCCCTCTCTTCCCGGTACCAACCATATTTATATGGTCGGTACTCCACTATGCAAATTAGGTGGATCCTACCACAACAAAAACAAAATATGATATAACATATCTTACTGGCAACCATGTTTGAACAAATGCATAAACAATGACTAGCTTGCTAACGATTACTCTACCGTAGGCACCTTTAGACATTTAATTTCACTTAGTCTGTCATACGCTCTCAGTGGCGGGACATCAGTTAAACCTCAATCTTATTTTATTCATGTTCTATAAAGCGCAGCTACTGAAGAATGAGGTCGACCCAACCTAGCTCTTGTGACCCAAACAAATTGTGCTGATGACATATCTCACTTAAAATGATCTAAATAAACACAGGAAAAGATTCGATAATCTAGAAAGTTCAAAGTGAACCAGACCAAAATTGAGATCTACATTATACCAAAAGCCTACTCCACGCCTCCTGTTACTACCAATGATGGAAGAACTCTTCCAACACAAAAACGACAAATTGCTGTGGTCTGCACTTGATTGGCTTGTGAACTATCAATCATCAACAACTTAGAATAATTGCAAATTACCTGATAGCTACCTAAACACTAAGGGAGACATTGACAACAGGAAGAGAGTTGCACTTCTAACTATTCAGAAATACGAAACATCTAGATCATGCATCATTCACCATCAACGAAAAATCAGAACAGTTTCTAGATTTTTAATTATTTTAACTCAAAGAAGGCAATAAAGCCACTAAGACACAAGGTGTTACCAGGTGTGAAACAATAAGAAAAAACATTGTTAAGGATCGAAAACAATAAAAAAGAATAATCAAAAAGACAGTAGTTGGCTGAAAAAGCGAGACTAGAAAAGAGTTACACGGGTGAGAAGTGCGAGAGAAGAAACTGTTAACAAAAAACTTACGGTTGCATCTAGTTAATTTAACTGTATAATGATTAGAGCTTGTTACCAATCTAGTACTGCGCTTAGATTAAAGTCTAGGTACCATAGAGTTCTAGTGTGCTGTGTAATATCGGTCCTCTTATATGGCAGTGAATGCTGGACAATCTTCTCACAGGTGAAGAAGAGACTTGAGACGACAGAAACGTGGTCATACAGAAGAATGCATGGACTGAACTAACAAGGAACTGTTCAGGAAGATGGAAACAAGAAGGGCGCTTATACATCAGAAAATGACAGATGAAATTTCTTGGTGGCATAATGAAAATAGAGGGCTTGGAAAATTTGACACTCAGAGGACATACTGAAATCAAAAGTGAATAAGGGGAAAGCAAGTGAATAAACTCCATCACAAGATCATGTAAACGGTTGGCATAACAGGGAGTATGAGGGATAGCAAAAAAGACAAAAAGAGCAAAAAATGACAGGAAGTTGTGGAGAGTCATTATCGCCCACATATTTATTGGATACTGAACGTAAAAGAAAGAATATATCGACATAAAAAAAACTAAGTGTTATACATTATGGGGAATATCGCATTTAAATATTTTCTTTTTAATGGAAAAAAAATGTTTCTTGAAATAAAGATGTTATCGCAATCTTATATATTTTAAAAAATTTAATCATTTCACCCCAAACAAGACAACAAAGTCACTAAAAAGCAGGCGGTTATTGAGTGTACATTTTTAAGGATAATAATTGACATTGAATTAAATTCATATTTGGTATGTGTATTTTTTTTTAAATTTATGATTGTATTTCATAATATTTAAATGTATACCTTCTAAAGTTTTTGCTAAATGTACTATTGTTGTGGTAGGATCCACCTAATTTGCATAGTGGAGTACCGACCATATAAATATGGTTGGTACCTGGAAGAGAGGGAGGAATCAAGAGATTCAACCAGAGACTCTGCCCGACTGCGACTCAGTCAACACATTCTCCAGGAACGGTCTTACCAGGAATATACAAAAGACTATATGTAAATATTGTGTACACTTTCTTGTTTCAATACATTTTGTTCTAAGTACATTTTGTGTTGCATTATTATTCCATGCATTAGTCAAGTTTCAACAACCATATAAATCTCATTTGTTCCTAGGTGGGTTATTGCTTAAAAATGTTGAGAAACACTGGATTAACTGATAAAACTGACAATAGCCGATTAATATTTGCCAATGTAAATGTTGTGATAAAAAGGACACCAATGAGTATCATCCTCTTTATGTGCCATTTCCCCTCAGGACGTAGAAGATCATGGCCCTCCAAAACTTCCTCATCCTTGTAGCTCTTAAAAAATGTTGACTGCTATATTTTTTTTTAAACCCTGTTCCGCTGTTCATTAACTCAAACCTATCAAGTATTCTATGCGCTGTTTTCCTCTGTTCCTCTATCTGTCAATATTTCCTGTGAGTATCAGATTTTCCAAGCACCCTTTCCTCATTTCAACTATTTTTTCCAGATGTTAAGTATAAGTTTCCGTTTTGTTTCCATTTCCTCTTAAGCCTCGTCATTGCTCACACGTTCGGTTCATGGTAATCTCAGCATCCTTCTGTGGAACCATGTTTCTGTTACTTCAAAGCTCTTTTCCTCTTTGAGGAGATTGTCCAATATTCACTGCCATATAACAGGACAGATGCCACGTAACAGTCCAGTACTCGTTTTACGAATATTTCGCAGATTATCTGTACTAAAACTTTTCGGAGTTTCATAGTCTTCATTTTGTTTCTATAATAACCAAATTGATTGTGACTGCAGAGAAATATCCCTTGCTTCTTTTTCTTCCTTTGTATAATGTCCATTCTTTGTATAGTGCCCATTCCTGCAGGAGTTCATCTCACACGCACACACAAGAGGTGAAATTGTAAATTTCAAAATTCCATTTCGATATTTTAAAAGAGGAACCGAATTTTATAATTGCGATTAATTAACAATTACCAAAAGGCCACACTCAACCAAGCAGAACAACGTTATTTTGATTTTCTAAGCGAAAGTATGGGGCACCCAGTGAGGATCGAACTCAAAGAACAACGTTGTGACTACAACAAAAAATACTTATACTCAGAATCAGAAAGAGATTGGCCACCTGATGATGTTTCCGTTACCTTCTCCACGCTATGTATTTATGTGCTTTCCTTCTCTTGGACTGTTTGCTAAACTTGGAAAACATAACCACCGCATGGCATATTGAGGACAAGAGAGATAGAGGAAGGCAGCGAGACAACGAACGGGCGAGCTTGCGTGAATTGGTGGCAGAACGAGAGGTGAGAGGTTTATTTAGCAAAAGGAGAAACACTGTTAAGGGCCATAAGGGATAGAACGATGTGGAGAGCCATGATTGCCCATCTCCTGAAAGAAAAAGAAGAAATCTAGCATGAGGTTACTTGGGCAACGAATGAAGATTGAACTCACTACATAATGAATGGTCCTTGAAGATATCTTGTTATACTAATATACATTGTTAATTACTAATCCTAGCTGAATATAGCGTAAAGCCACAATAGATTTTATTCAGTGGGGATTGAACAATGATGTCTAAGAAACTAATTTGTTAATAATTGTTCTATTGTGACTATACTGTAAAATCGCCATTGCGTATTTGAATCAATTTCAAATGAATCTATGCTTCATTTTATATTGAACCAGATTTGCATCTCCAATGCCCATGCCATCATCGCAGGCGTTCTCCGTTCAACTCTTCCTAATATCCTTCACCTTTACAAGAACCTGATTAGGACAAAAATCCTGCCATATATGGGCAGGAGTTGCCTAGCCTTCACTTTCCGTTTTCTATAGAGTCCAAAAGAGTCTCCGTGTCCTTGTGTGTGATTAATTATTGTTCAGCCTAGAGCACCTTTCCCACAAATGAAACGTGGTAATCATCTCGCTACTCTATCGCTATTTCCAGGTAAAATGTTCAGGTAAACTTCATTCCTTAGTTCCACCAGTTCTAACCACGCCACACACACATTACAGCGAACCATATTCATTCTCTTCGCATTTTCATTGGTGAGAAGGAAGTTCCTCTCGAACAGCTTCTTTCCACGAACCATTAACCTATGGAACCTATTCCCAAGAGAACGCTTCCCTAATTACTACAATCTTAATCCGTTCAAGTCTAGAGTTAACCCTTATCTTCCCCACATATCCCCATAAAAATGCGGCTCTTACTCTGTAACCCTCTACCTCCGGTGGTTCTTGGGCCTTATACGGGGTGAACATTACTTTAAAAAGAAATTATCATGAATTAATCTTAGAGCAAAGACTTTATCCTCTAGATTTCGATATCTGCAAATTTTAGATTAAAAATCGTCAAATATTGAGCAACAAAATAGCTTTCCCAGTCTGCTATTCAAATAAATGATAGCTCCGCGAGATCAAATCAAGTACTGGAGTATAGTGAGAGTTTTTACGATTTTGCACTATACAAAGAGGACTTTTGAAGAGTTTAAAAATCATGCATTTTCAGTCACCGGTTGAACTATACAAATGTATTTTTCTGGGGCGGGTTAAAATTCATGCACTTTCGGTAACTATACAGTATCTAAATATCCGGTAAGTTTTACGGTAAGTGGTTTCCCTCACCATTTTGGGGTAGCTTTGTACAAAAAAAAAAATGAAGACCATTTATTTTCTATGAAATATGCCTTGGATGATGTCTAGTACTGCAATAATTGATTACTTTAAAACTAGTAATATCGCTCAGAAGCTGGAGTCGCATTGATTGATTGGTTCGTTTTCAATGGCTTATCAACCCATTGTAAGTTATTTAAAGCCAAGAAATATTTCTAAATTGTAATAATATTTATTGGAATTAATAATGGTTAATAATATCTTATTAATTAACCGATATGGGGTCGGAGAATATGTGGATTCATACCGTTATTTGCACTTAAGTGAATATATCGAAGCCACTGGGAATTGGAACTCAGTTCTCCAATAAGAAATTCCGAGTCATTATTCATTACATCAGCCGCACATCCCAAGATTACAGCACCTGGTATTCCCAAGCGGTCACCCATCTAGGTACTGATAAGGCTTGATGTTGCTTAACTTTGGTAATCGTAAGGGAACAGGTGTTTCAACGTTGTGACATGGC